TTTTATAGTTTTTATAATTTTGTTGTTGTGTTAGAGTTGGAACCAACCCAAATATACCCTCTGACAGGTTTTCAGTTGATCACACTAGATGAGATTGTCCATTCTTCTTACTCTTATTTTAAGAAAACAAATGAATTTATTTGCTAGAAATATTGTTAAATATGCCCTGTAAGCATATTTAAACAAATAGACAATTGAAAAGCATGTCAGTTGTCACTGGAATGGAAATATAAATAAATATATGGTATAAAAGTTCTCCTTCACATCACTGGAAAGCAGTACAAATATTTGATCATAAACAAGTCTTGTTGGTGCATGGGTTGAACATTCAGCTGCTTGGGTCATGGTTCCAACTCAACAGTTGCTCATAGGAGGAGACTTGCCTAAAGAGTACAGCTTAGAAAATGCCATGGGAGTGTTGGACTCTGTGAGATAGCACCACTGGGAGTTTGTATTGACCTACCAACACCCAGTGTTTGTAAATATGATTTTAGAATTAGTTTTAGTTTGACATAGTAACAGTGCCAATAGATATATGGGTGAGTGAAGAAAAAAGGAGACTGTAGAAAGATTTTGAACAGTGTGTACAGTGTGATTCAGTTTGTAGGGAAAAATGTACATATGTCTGTGTATATGTACATTTGCATATCTTTATGTACATAAATATCTGAAAAGGAACAGAATCAGTTGGAGTTTTTAGATTTCAGAGACATGAAAGCCAGTATAAACAGGAAAGATTTATTGAGGTTCATACATAGCTCATAGATCACAGGAATCCCTGAGAAATAGACTTAATGACAGGAGAGTTACAAGTACCCCTCAATTTTACTCTATAGCAGATTCTGAAAAGAATTCCATGCTCCCATGGTCTTTCTCAGAGATCCTGTGGGGCTTGGCTACCAGCTCTGTCTGAACTGTTCTCAGAATTCCATGTAACCTCTGCATAGTTCCTGTTCTTTTGTGTTATGAGCTTCCAGTTCAGTGACCTGTGTGGGTATGTATGGTTGGCAAAGCTCAAGTTTCGTATCCTAGCTGCACGGGAGGTTGGGAGAGTGAGCAGATGAAATGCATGTTTGTAGTAGATGAAGGCGGGTTTTGCCAAATGTAGGAGGATTTCAAATCTTAAACTCTAGGAAGAATGATAACTACCTATTGCAGACATTTGGCATCTTCCTTACTTCTGTTTGGGGAGTGGAAGGGCTGCCAGGGAAGCCCTTTTATTTTTAAAAGCAGAACCCTTTATATATTACTCATCTACACTATTTGAATTTTTTAAAGCATGTATATATTTATATAAAATAATGATTACTAAAAAGACCATGGGGAAAAATGAATCAACAACTTTCCCCCAACATTTCCGCTATTATTTTGTTCTCACTTAAGTATTCAAGAAGGTTTCCTAGCACAGCTGAGCAATTTCATCCACTAGTTGCTTATTGTTGTTGTTGGGTGCTGTCGAGTTGGAACCGAATCATATCTGATGCTCTGGTGGGTTTTTAGGGGCAGTTAATCACATAGGAGGAGATTGACCATCCTTCTCCTGTGATGGATTGAAATCATGTGCCTTGAGGATTACAGCAAAGTTTCTTACTACTTGGCGACTAGAACTCCCACACTTGGGATTTAGTTTGTTAAAATAAGAAAAAAAAAACCATCTCATAATTTGTTTGTAGTTGGTTCCTCAGAGAAATTGAGTAGCAGTTTTTCTGGGACACTAAATGTTTATTCTTTTGACTTGGTGGGCCTGGTTCAGTTTTATCTTGATTATTTAATTTCGAATGTCTACAATATTCAGCTTTTCAAATTAAGGTATTAACAGCTACTGTGGTTGATAGAAATAGTTCTGGTGACATGGGAAGTTAAGTTTCTGTATATTGTTGTTGTTGTAATGTGCCATTGAGTTGCCTTTGACTCATAGCGACCCTGTGTTCAAAAGCCCTAAACATTGCTCTATCCTGTGCCAGTAACACTGTTTCCGACATACCTACCCGCATTACCCCAATCACTAAATCAGTCCATCTCATGGAGGGTCTTCCTCTCCTGCGCTGTCCCTCCAATCTCCCAAACATGATGTCTCTCCCCAAGGACTGGTCCCTCCTTGCAACATGTCCAAAGTATGTCAGATGAAGCTTCAACATCCTTACCTCTAAGGAGCCTGGTTTAACCCTCTCCAGGACGAGCCTGTTAGTTCTCTTAGCAGTCCATGATATATTCAATACTCTTCCCCAACACCACAGCTTAAAGGCATCAATTCTCCTTCTATCATCCCTAGTCATTATCCAGCTCTCTGATGCTAGCAAGTGATTGCAAAGACCATGGCCTGGATCAGGCACAGCTTAGTCTCCAGACTGGCATCATTACTCTTCAGTACTTTGGAGAGGTCTCTAACAGTGGACTTCCCCATCTCAAGACGTCTTTTAATTTCCTGGCTGCTAGTGCCAAGAGAGTTGATTGTGGATCCAAGCAAACTAAAACTGTTAACAATCTCAATCTCTTAATCATCTTTCATGATGCTGCCATTGGCCCAGGACCAAAATATGACCTTGAGTCTATCCCACCTGAGGAACAGGTTTGAGGCCCTGAACACTAATAAGTGAAGACCAGATGAGTTGTGGAAGGATATCAAGAATATCATCCAGGAAGAGTGCAAAAGGTCATTACAAAGAAAGAGGAGGAAGAAAAGACCAAAATGGATGTCAGAAGAGATTCTGAATATTACACTAGAGTACCAAGAAGCCAAAGCAGAAGAAAGAAATCAAGATATTAAGGAGCTGAACAGAAGATTTCAAAAGGCAGTGTGGGAAGACAAAGTATTACAATGGAATGTCCAAGTAGCTTGAGTCAGAAAATCAAAGGGGCCGAACTTGCTCAGTATTTCTTTTTTGTTTTACCTTTTTTTTTTTTTAGTATTTCTTAAAGCTCAAGGAACTGAAGAAGAAATTCAAGCCTCAAGTTGCAATACTTAAGGATGCTTTGGGCAGAATATTAAATAATAGAAGAAGTATTAAAAGAAAATACAAAGAGTATACAGTCATTGTACCAAAAAGATTTGGCAGACACCGAAGAATTTCATGAAACAACATATAAGCAAGAGTGTGGTGATGAAGGAGGAAGTTCAAACTGTTTTGAAAAAATTGGCAAAAAATAAACCCCCAGAATTGATGGTATACCAATTGACATATTTCAACTGACAGTTGTTGTCCTAGATGTGCTCATCAAGTTGTGCCAAGACGTCTGGAGGACAACCACTTGGCCAACTGACTGGAAGAGATCTATATTTGTTCCCATTCCAAAGAAAGGTGACCCGACAGAGTATGGAAATTATCGAACAATAACAATATTATTAATATCACAAAATTCTATTAATGATTATCCAAAATCAAAATTCTGCTGAGGATTATCTAAAAATGACTGGAACAGCACATCAGCAGAGAACTGCCAGAACTACAGGCTGGGTTTAGAAGAGGTCGTAGTACTAGGGATATTGTAATTCTAGTTAATGTTAGATGGATCTTAGCTGAAAGCAGGAAGTACGAGAGGAATGTCTATCTGTGCTTCATTGATTATGCAAAGTCGTTTGATTGTGTGGATCACAACAAACTGTTGCTGACTCTGAGAAGAATGGGAATCCCAGAATACTTGATCGTACAAATGCAAAACCTATCCTTGGACCAGGAGGCATTCGTCAGAACAGAGCAAGGAAACACTGCATGGTTTCAAAATTAGGAAAGGTGTATGCCAGGGATGTCTCCTATCTCCATACCTTGTCAATCTATATGCAGAACAGATTATCCAAGAGGCTGGGCTCTATGAGGAGAAATATCTTTGTATCTATTTGTTATAATTAAAGAACTGATGTTGATACATTATTATTGACTAAAGTTCGTACAGTATTCAGATTTTCTTAAGCTTTTTTTTTTTAAAATTTTATTAATTTGAATGAACATTTACAGTGATTTTGGATTTCCATTCATTCATTGTTGCACTTTTCTCCCTGCCCAGCCCTCCCCCCATCAATTCACTCTTCTCTTTGAAAACAAAAGTAAAATACTTTCTTTGGTATACAGTTCCCCCGCACCCCGCCCACTGCTCTGAGTACACTCCACTGTGCAACCTTAATTCTGGACTCTTGTGGTAACCATAATACCCTATCATATATCGCTTTTAAATTATTCTCTCCCTCATCTGTTTTAATGCAGTTTACATAATTTATCCAGTTTTTCTCAGTCTTACCACAACCCTGATGTCAGTCCCATTCTACAACAGTGGCACCATACAATATTTGTTCTTTTGTGACTGAGATATTTCACTCAGCATAATGTCCTCCAGGGTCACCCATTTTGAATAATATTGCATGAGTTCTTTGTTTTTCAGTGCAGCATAGTATTCCACTGTGTGAATATACCATAGCTTCTCTATCCATTCGTTTGTTGATGGGCACCTGGGTTGTTTCCAACTCCTTGCTATTGTGAACAAAGCCACAGTAAACATGAGTGTGCATATATCTGCTTGGATGTCGGTTATGGTCTCTTTAGGGTATATTCCCAGTATTGGAATTGCTGGGTCAAATTGTTATCTCTATTTGCAACTTTTTGAGAAAGTGCCACACGACTTTCCACAGTGGTTGCACCATTTCACACTTCCACCAATAGTGAATAAGGGTTCCAGTTTTTCCACAACCTCGCCAGCATTTGTTGCTTGCAGTTCTGTTACATTTTGGTATTCTGACTGGGGTGAGATGATACCTCATAGTTGTTCTGAGATTTTCTTAAGTTTTACTCAAGTCTTACTTTCTGTTCTGAGATAGCTGTTATATTTTTTATACCTTTATATTCTTATATTGTCCTTGTTCATTTGTGTAATAATGTCATGGGACCATGCAGTGAATGAATGTGTGGTGTTTTGTTTTGTTTTTTTCTTGTCATACGTAACAGGAAATTTGGGAGAATGTCATAGGAGAAAATGTAACTCCCTTTTTATTTTTCTTCTTGTTCGCTCAGTGGAACAGGTTCCAGTAGAACCATACAACATCCCGCTGTCCCAGGCTGAGGTCCTTCAGGAAGGGAGTGATGTCACTCTGGTTGCCTGGGGAACTCAGGTTAGTAGTAATGTTTGTGCTGATTGCTTAAGCCCATGCTGTACAAGAAAGCTGTCCTTTTAAATCAAGATTCTATGAAGAACTGAAAATGGTGTTTTAGAAATATCTCAAATTAAGTCTATTTAGCTTCAATAGTGCATCTGTATCAGGTACTTTTTCCTGACTTAAGGACAGCTACTTATTCAGTCATATTAAAATATACAGACATATAGTGAAGTTCTTAAAATATATTGAATATTTAATGAATGTTTTACAAACATCTTTTCTTTGAAGCATTTCTTGTTGCTACTTTTGCCCTCTCTCATGGTCACTCTGTCAGTGAATGGATCCACCCCGTGTTCTGTAGCCTTGGAACCTATCCTTTTTTTCTTTTCCTGTGAGCTTCCTCACAAATCAGCTTTCCCCAGAGCTTGTCACATTGCTTTACTGCCAAACTGAAAAGCTCTGGACTCTTAGCTCTGTTAGGCTTTTATCTCCAATCTTTGCATATTTCAGAAAAGGAAGTCATATCTGTCCTGCTCATTACTGCTGAGTTGATTGTGTTTCAAGGGCCCCTACAGGACAGACAGAACTAACTACTGCTTAGGGTTTCTAGGGCTGTTCCTGTTTACAGAGGCAGGCAGCATCAACTTTTTCCTGTGAAATGGCTGCCAGATTTGAACCACTGACCTTTTTTGGTTATCAGCCAAGCTCAACCCACTGCCCCACCGTGGATCCTTGAAAATGAAATATGATATAAAGAAGGTAATGGAAAATAATTTGCAATATAAGTTTCTACATTCTTTCTCCATTTACCTTTGATTTGGAACACTTTAGTGCTCATGGCTTCTAGCCACCACTTGTTTAACTGTGCTGATTGATAAGTCCCATTTCATTGATGGTGCTCACTTTGATTGTCATAAGCCTTTTCTGTTTTCCTTACATCTTTTTTTATTACACATTCCTGTTACCCTTAACATGCCACTTTTCCCCCTCCCATAAGGAAATGACAATGTATTACATACTAATTTTCATAACTTGCTTTACCTTTATGCTTATGATTTTTACTGCCAATCTTTTTCTCCTTCTCTTTTTTTTTATTTGAAGAAGGGGTATCTGGTTTCCATTATGACTCTTTAAATCTGTAATGAGTTGCATCCCAATTTTAACCTCAGCACCATACTCTATCAACTGGTCCTTCTTTTTTCTGTATTTTTAGTTTCTCTTTTCCATTACCCTTTCCTATAAAAAGGAGTCCTGCCTGAGTGTTGGAGAGTCATTAATCTGAGCCCACTAGTTAGTTGCTCCACAGGAGATGTAGGAAGTAGATGAGGGTTGCAGAGTGGATTATATTTGGGGGTAGGGCGTGGGGTTTGGGGAGGTATGGGGGGATTGTGTACCAATGAGGGAGTTTTTCAAGGAGAGG